CCGCGGCCCTTAATCTCGGTTTTCTAGACCGGAGCCGTTATTTCCTTGAAATATCTCCTCAATTATCTTAACGAGGCTGAGTGGATCCCGTTCCAGACCCACTACTTCTCAGAAAATGTGGTAGCGCCTGGAATCGAACCCGGACCTCTAGATCTGTAGCCAGAAATTCTTACCACTAGACCACAGAGGCGGAATAACATCATGGATTAAATAAACTGAAATATTCTGCTCTTTACGAGCGTATTTTTCTGTAAACATATACAGGGGATATGTAATGGAGGAAGGTATTCAAAGATTTGGTCTGGGGTTTTAGAGTGCCCCAGTCTCCGGAGACTCTCAGTTTTTCTTGGCATTAATTTATGATCTCATAATTTTATTATTTTATTTAATACGATTAAAGAATATATCATGATAATAAAACGACTGTCAAATATTGTACACAAACTTGTCTGTTGTAGCACAGAATTAACACTGTCAGAAAACTGCGTCGTTCATTTGAGCAGGTGCTCTGTTAGCATTTACAGATGCTGCACTCTGTTCCAGTTATTCAACAGCACATAATGCAACGACGCAAACAGGTACAAAACAGGTTAGGTCAGTGAGAGAGAAGCAACTTATGCAATAGGTATATAACATAGTAATCAATTTAAAAAAGAATAAACAAGTTAGTAATTGTATGCATAGTGTAACAGTTCTGATAAATTCGCTCTCGTATCCTTCTAGATTTTGAATCTGGGAATGCTAACTTTGTATAATTGTCGTAAAGAGCACTAAAACAGGCGAAAGAGGCGAGCAAGGACCTCCAGCACAAAATCTAATCAAGACTGTTAGAGAGGTTCTCAAGGTACAAGATGACAAAGCTTAATAGTCATATTTATCTAGTTACCTCAAAAACCGTAATGCTTGCGGAAAATCAGCACTGAACACAGAATATATGTTTTACTTTTCTCTACAACTCTATATATGATTCTTTTTTCTCTCTTGTAAATATTGAGCAATTTACACTGCAGATGCGTCTAGACACGTGTGTAGGTCTTCATGAAGATGTCCTCTATTCCCGTAGGGCAAAAATTACCCTGTGTTTAAACAGTTAAGCACTACGCCATAATTATTGTGGGGGAGTGGCTGGATAGAGACACGTTCTCTTGACCTTGGCACTAGTTTGAGGTGAGCTTCACGCCCCGACAGCTTTATTCCCGGAAAAGAGCCCCCGTTACCCAGTGGATAGGAGAGTGGGCGGACCCAGAGCCGGTCTGGACGACATGGAAAAAAGAAAATTCCTGACTCTACCAGGACTCGAACGCTGGCCCCTCAGTCGTTCAACCAGCAGCCAGCCGCTATACCGACTGCGCTATCCAGGATATTGTTGATCTATTTTAACCAAGACTGGAACTTGTCAACAGATTTTAGTAAAACTGCCCAGTATCAAATTTCATCCATTTAGGTTGTCGAGTTACTTAGGCAGACGGTAGGACAGCAGTGGAGAAGTTCGCTGGTCCATTTTTGCAACTTTCTTATTTGAGTCAGAACCAAATTGTATTATATATTTCCACGCCCTGTTTAATATTTTTAAAATATTTTGTCAGAGAACAGAAGGAACAAACAGCCAAGATGAGAAAGAGTTATATTATGTTGTTTATCGTCTCCACTGACCCAGTCTGAACCAATTATGGGAATCAGTTTAAATTAATTAATTCCGGATGCCTCAGCTTTCACTACGATCATCTGATAATGTTTTGATTGGTGACACTAATTTCGTTCTTTTCTTACAAGTTAGTTAAAACTGTAACGTTGTAAGATAATTAAAACATTAAGTGCTGTGGTGGACATTTCAGGACATTGTAACCTTGAACAGGACTGGAAACGTCACGTGTTGTGGTTGGCATTTCATGATACTGCAACACCAAATAGGACAGTGGTTCTCAACCTTTGTCAGACCGCGGCCCGGTAAATTCTTTTTTCTATAAGACAAAGGCCCCGCGTTTGAGAAACAAATAGGATTTGAAACGTCGCGTGTTGTGGTGGCAATTTCAGAATACTGAATAAGACTTAAACTTCATGTGTTGTGGTGAACATTTCAGGGCATTGTAACCTTGAAAATGATTTAAACGTCATGTGTTGTAGTGGACATTTCAGAAGACTGTAATCTTAAATAGCATTTAAAACGACATGTGTTCTGTTGGACACATCAGGACATTGTAAATTTGCATGGCATTTAAGACATTATGTGTTATGGTGAAAATTTCAGGACAATGTGGCCTTGAACAGGATTGAAACGTCATGTATTGTCGTGGACATTTCAGGATATTGTGTTGTGCTGTCAATATAATTCTACGAGTTAAGTTCACTTTCACTCTGTCCCTTATTTCCATCTCATCTCGGAATTCCTTCATAAATATACAATGGGAAACCTTGAAATTGTTCTAACAAATTACATCAAGTCTTACAGTGAAGGCTAAACTTACTTTTTGAACACTCTTACAACGAACATTTAAATGAAGCTAATTTTTTTATGATACGTTATTTAGCGCTTTACTTAAATGTCTCCAGAACAATAGCTGATCCAGTTTCAAGAGTATTCTAAGCAAAGCGGTTTCCTTCAAACAATGCATTATAAATTTTGTAAGCTAAAAAGTAAAAGGAGAGCTGCACAAGATATTGTATGTTCAGCCTTCTGCACATCAGCAGGGTACTGATAAGGTGCTTATGCGCTCCACGTGCTGCGAAATGTCAAAAGAAGAGAATAGGTATAATAGAGTTTTAATTTCAGAATAAACAGAATGTACGAGTATTTATAGTACCTAGGCTATATCAGAAAAACAGAAACTTAGCGGCGTAATTGTGCCAAGGTTGATTAGATTGAAGGGGCATGTAGCACGCATTCGAGAGATAAAAACTGATATGAAGTGTCATGCAGACAAACCCGACGGGAGTAGACTAATTCGAAGATCTAGGCACAGATAGGAGAATAACATTAAAATGGATCTTAAAATTTAGAGTGAGGAAATGCGGGCAAGCTCAGAACAGGAATCGATGGCGAGCTCTTGCGAACACATTAACGAACCATGTTTCCCGTGTGTCTGTGTGTCCCACCCTAACGTTGCTTGGCAACGGCTCGGTAAACACGTTCCTGCTGCATCAAATACACAAGCAACAACAGAAGAACTCTTGCACACGGTGTCCGAGAGTAAAATATGGTGATGAGTCTCATGAGGCTCCGAACTAAGAATCACTGTGTTGGCGAGGACCAGCAGAAAATTACTGGACCTGGGTCTGGATTTTAAAGAAATGGAGTAGGGAGATGTGGACAGCATTAATTTGGCTCAGAATATGGATCGGTGGCGAGCTCTTGTGAAAACATTAACGAATCTACAAGTTACATAGGAAGAGTCGGAATAGCTCAGTCAGTTTAGTGATGGGTGACGAGCTGAATGGTCCGGGTTTCGATTCCCGGCGTGGCAAGACTTCTCTCTTCTCTTCAGCATTCAGACCAGCTGTGGGCTCCACCCAGCCTCCTATGAACGTGAAGCTGACCACTTGCCTCCATCTGGTGTTCAGGTCAAGAATGGTGGAGCTATACCTTCACTCCCCCATGTCTTTATGGCGTAGTGCTTAATTAATTAATCACAAGGACAAGTATACTTTTATCTTACGCGTTCCATTGAATGCACGGAATTTGTTGACTATTAGCTTCACAGAAAGGTCTGTGCTCCAACGAGGTGATTTGTTTCAGTTAGTGTGTGTGTGTGTGTGTGTGTGTGAGAGAGAGAGAGAGAGATGTTAATGTAAGCAGGACATGGTATGTTGCAGATTGCAGTTATATGCTGTGAGTATGTGTGGGCTTGAGCTTGACCTTTACAAAGCAAGTGATAAATTTCCTCTCCTATCTCCTGACATTCCCCTGTGAGCTATACATGGAACGTTACTTTTGGAAAAACTTTGATCTAAAATACTGTTCTGAATATGCAGAGAAGAAAAGAACTTATTCGGATTGATAAATTGTGTTTCAAAACTTAAAAGAAAAATATTGTTTATTTTTTATGAAACGGTTAACACTGAAAACATATTACAGAAATCAGTTAAATGTTATACAAATGAATGACAAAGGACATTAAAAGTCCTTGTGAGTTTTCATATGTAAAGATTGTATAATTGCTATTCTGTGTGACCGCCTCTGTGGTCTAGTGGTCAGAGTTCCTGGCTACAGATCCAAAGGTCCCGGGTTCGATTCCCGACTCAGAAGTAGTGGGTCTGGAACGGGGTCCATTCAGCCTCGTCAGGATAATCCAGGAGCTACTTCAAGGAAATAGCGGCTCCGGTCTAGAAAACCGAAATTAACGGCCTTAGGGATTCATTGCGCTGACCACGCGACACCCTCTATCCGCTAAAGTCACTTCGACGACAAGCAGTGGTTCCTCGGTCGGTATAGTTCGCTTGCGGACTCAAGCTACGGAGTTTAGTTTAGTGTATAAGTTTAATGCTTCTTACATACTAACTGGCCAACCAACAAACTAATTCACTAGCTAACTAGCTTCACAAAGGCGATTACATCTTTAGGTCCGATTTACAGTTGAGGGGCCCCAGGTGAAATCAAAATGTGGAGGTCCCTATCACTAACAATAAATTTGGTTTATGACAGTTTTTCTTTTTTATTTCATATAACAACTAAAAATACAAACTAACTTTTCGTGATTTTTTTAAAAGTAGATATCTTAATAGAATCTGGCTATTCTAAAGTATTTCTGTCTTATGGATGCCCCGGGGCAGCTGCCCCTGTCGCCCCTCCTTCAAATCCGGCCCTGATATTTGGTCAGATAGTCAATAATTTCCCAGCATTTTATGGAACAAGAATATTCATTACCGTTTTCAGAAGAGCCAGCCACTAAACTCAATTCCAAGACAGATTAATGAAATCCATATCATCCAGTCCTGTTTCTTTGAGATACGTTTTAATAATTATCTGTCATCTATGCCTAAATCTTCCATGTTGTTTCTTTCCTTCAGTTTTTCGTACCAAAACTACAGAAGATATTATGCCATTATCAGAATTTCAAGTCTGATAAGGGTCTAATTTTGGTTTCATTCTATAATCTTATATTTCATAGTTATTCCCTGTAACAATCTGAAGTGGAACAATTTTGCATACAGATACAATTTATCTACACAGAGCAAGTCACTGCATTGAATGAATCTTGTGAAATAAGTATCAGCTCAGTAGAAAGTGAGATGTAAGCAGTGGTTACTTACTATACGTATTCCGTTCCGTTTCATTCCATTTGCAAATGCTGCCTTCAAAGTCCCACAGCTGTTTTTAAAATAACAGACATAAACAAGCACACGTTATTGGCACAACTATATCTTCACAGATAACTGAGGGTAAGTCACTGAAGACCTTCTGTATATATGATATTGCTTGTGTCAGGTCTTGGAAATATATAGTTCTAGCTACAGAATAAGAGGGTCAAAGTTCTACTAACTTGTATCAGTAAGTAACAGATGGTAATTAGTTCATCTGTTTGTCCTATAAAGCATGTTACAGTATTTGTGACATGCTCTATTATATGATATTATGTGTGTAAGAGAGAGAGAAAGAGATAGGAAACCAGAGTAGCTTTATTGCCCTTGACGAACACAAAGCAAGGAATTATTGAAGCATTTCTTTCAAGAACTGATATAGGTTAGAGAAGCTCAGAATCAACACACAGAAAGTAAAAGTGACCTCTGTAATGGCGCTGTAAATACTGATACGTCTTCGTACACATATTCTTCATTCGTTTCTTCTCACAACGGCTGAAAGCTATTTCAGTTTCTGAGCCCAGGTCCGACCCTTCCTCTCCCTGTATCATACAACTTTCTTCCGTGCTTGTTGTCATCGTCTACTCTGAAATTTGGGGCAGTAGATTCCTCTGAAGCCGGTCACAGTGGCCGCGCGGTCTAAGGCATGAACTGTCTTCGCTCGCTCGAACGCTGGAATCGTGGGTTCGAATCCCACTCAAGGCATGGATGTTTGCGTAAGTTTGTTCTGTGTGTAATTTTCTTTTAATTCGCTTAGTGGGGGGTGGAGTCCAACTGGGTCCACTCGGCAAGGCGGCCACTGATTGGCCTA